TCCGTCGCTTCCTCCATAGCATCGCCTAACAGGATTGGTGAGGCACTTGTAGGGACCAGCCCCTTCCCCATCATTTGAATCTCCTACCCCCTCCTTCCGTCCAGCACGCCAGTTTGGGGGGCTGGAGGAAGGTGGGAAGGCACAAACATTTTGTTTGGGTGATATTTTGAGGGGAGCCATCAAAAGTCGCAAACGCTGGTTTTCCCAGTGGCTGAAGCACCCTCTCCTTTTTCCCACTTAAGAGACCTCCTCCCCAATTCCAGAAGCAGTTTTTCTCTTGGTCCTTTTGAATGGTGCTTTGCCCGTAGTTTTGTCTCTTTTCGCAAATCCTCACTCTCCCCTTTGGCCACTGCGCTGTTCTGAGACCCTGGCGTCAGTTTCGCACGGGGCGGAGGCCAGGGCATCCGTGTCCCTGGGTCCTGACTGCGGGGACTGGGGCTTTTCTCCCAGCCCAAGCTCCGCGGCGTTTCCGGGCTTCCACCCCGCCCCTGCTCCAAGGCCCTGTCGCCTCCCCTCCTCCGTCAGCGCGGCCTGCTTCCTGCAGCCCGCCCGAGCCGGCCTTACTCCGGGCAGGAAGGAGGGCCGCCGGGCTCCGAGGGCCCTGGCGAGACCGTGGGATCCAGAGCAGGCCCACCCGGCCCAGCCCACTGTTCAGTTCCAGCTCAGCCTCCAGCCTGCAGGTCAGGATTCGATTCAGTTTTTATTTATTACAATTCGTGAATTTAAACCACAACACAACGCAAACCCACATCTAGGGAAAGAAACGAAAGCTGGGGGAAAGAGGGGCTGGCAAACGCCCTCCTGCCCTAATCTTCCCCTCCCACCTCTCCTCTGCTCCTTTGTCAGAATCACAAAACCCTAAAGGTTGTTCCACTTGGGAAGGCAGCGGATAGGTACATTTCCGCAGCCCCGCAATGCCACTTTTATGGCGCTGTTTGTCTCCCTGCGCTGGATTCTGAATGGGGCCGAACAAAACAGCAGCGCGGAGCTGGCTAGACGTCTGGGCTTAATTGTTTTATGGTTTAAATAAGGTGGACACTCTTTCCTTTGAAATCGGATTATAGGAATGTTTTGTCTATGGCCCACGGAGAACGGGACCTCACTGGCTGGGAGGGAGAGGTGGAGAAAGAGCGCGCGTGAGAGACAGAGAGAGGGATGGGCTACAAACCAGGGGGCAAACAGTCGGGAGAAGTCACAGTTCCACCCCAAAGTCCTGCAGGCGGCGGCGGAATAGGCAGTGCGGAACCAACGGCAGGGTAAGAGGAGCGAGGAGTTTAGGGTGTGCGCCGCGGGCAGGAGGTCGCGGGAGCCTCGGAGCGTGCATCTCTGCGTGAGCGGAGGTGTTCTGAGCCCAGAAATGCGCCTGAATAGGGGGGAGATCGCGGCAGTTCCTTTGCACAGTGTCTCTTAATGTGGGAAGGGAGGGTGACAAAAAGAGAAAATTGTGTGAAACCTTTGACAAGGTTTATTTGGAGAACTTGGAAAACAAAAGGACAGAGGTCCCGATGAAACTCCCTTCTGGGGACCCCCCCCCATATCTCTCTATCCTCCTCTCTCTCTCTCTCTGTCTCTCTCTCTTTCTTTCTCGCACCCATTTGGAAACTCCTTCCTCTCACTTCCCACCTTTGGGCCAAGGCTGGGACCTGCCTGCTCTGTTGGCTTTTTCCTGGCCCGACTGCATTGGAGAAAGTGGACGCGAGGTGGCGCTGTTGCTCAATGTTAGAGGCGGCGGCAGTGCCCCTGGCCGGCCTGGCCGCACTGACATTTGAGGCCCGGCCCCGAGGAGCAACCGGGAGAAGGCCCCGCGCCCCGGCCCAGCCCGGCCCCAATGGCTCTGAGCAAATCAATCCTCTCACCTGCGAGGTGTAAATAAATCGCGAGTGGCGGCGGGAGATGGGCCCTAGCTCTGGCAGCCGGCTCGAGAGGCTCAGGAGGGCGGGCGTCGAAAATAATCGCTTTGCGAAGGAGATAAGCACCAAGCAGGCAGCGCGTAATTAACACAAAAAGGCAGAATGACCCGGACAAACGAACATAAATCCGTGGTACCTAGGAGGGCGGAGCAGGCCTCGGGGCGAGGGGCAGAGACGCCCCAGCGAGGATGGCTGCTTGCGGTTCCTTTATATCCGAGCTCCGGGAGCGAAATCAAGCAGATACGTGTAAAAGAAAAAAAAGAAAAAAGAAAAAAAAAAGACAATCAAATGAAAAAAGAAAAGGCGAGGGACCCCCCCCAAAAGGGGAAATCGAGTCCAGCCAGGGGGTTCAGGACTGGTGGGCTCTCAGAGCAGACGGTGGTGGCGGCACACTCGGGACAGTTGCATTCCAAGACACAAAGGCCTGGAAGAATAGCTCTGTGGCAGGGTTTTCGCTGGACCATAAAATGTCGAGATATCCCCCCACCCTCTAAAAGATAAGGCGCAGGCCCCAGAGCGGATCTGGCCTGCGGAGCCTCCTCTTTCCAGGCGGAGAAGGGAAAATATTTATGACAGTCCCCAATGACTCAGATGCTGGGAACCCAGAGCCCATCTCCTTCAGCTTGGTACTCTGAGCAGAGTAGGCTCAGAGACCGCAGGGCTGGGACCAAGGCTGCAGCTGGCTCTGGTAGTGAAGGAGACCTCTGTCATGCCCCACACTGTCCTGGACCCTAGGGAGGACCCTGGCACAGCCCTCCTCTGACCCTCCCCTCCTGCTGCTCCAGGGCCAGAGTTCCCGGATGTTGCAGAGTTTGGGCAGTCCCTAATTCAGGTGGAGGTGGCTTCCTCCAAATTCAAGGGATCCTGGAAGTGTCCTTTGCTGGGGCACCAGGGAATCTCCTTTGGGAATTGGGCTGAGAGTGGCCATCTTCCCAGCAATTATTTAGATAATAGAGGGACTGGGGGAGGGGTCATTCTACACCGTCCTTTCCTGCACTGCCATTCCTTATCCATCCCCAGAGCTGGGCTCCAGATGGGGAAGGCAGAGACCTGGATTCCTAACAGCCTCCTTCCTCATCCAACCTGGAAACCCAGGATGTGGAAAGAAAATAGGTGGCAAATTTTTTCATGATGCAAAAAGCTAAAGATGCCTGTGTGTCTGTCAGGTCTTATTTTCCTGTGTGCCTGAGTGCACAGGGTCTGCGAGGTGACAGGGGCGCTTCTAGGCATGCATGATAGTTTAAGGAGCATGCACTCGATGTGTCTCAGGGTGGAAGGTGGCACATACAGGATGTGTGTATCCTGAGTGTGCCCCAGTATTGCCCTGTGTGTGACATCCCCGCACAGCCTTGGAAGGGGAAGACCGGAAAAATCGTTCTTGTTCCTCTTCCTCATTCGTATGCACACAGCACACGTATCCACAGCTCTCCGTCTTCTCCCCTTTCTCCCTTTTCTCTGTCTGTGTTAAGCCCCACATAACTGTACACGCTTATGGCCAGAAAAGGGTCCTGATGGACTAGGGTTCTTTTATCCGTTAGAATTACCTTGAATTTCCCTAGTCTTGGAGATAGGGGAGGAACCCCCTAGAGAAACTGTGGGTAAATATTTAAAGAGTGTCTGTTGACAGTTCCCATCCACATTCCGGCCTGGGCAGCCCGCTTGGGGAAGTAGGGGGTGCAGTGAAGCCAGGGGACCCCTCCGGGCTGAGCTGGCATTTCCTATAGGGTTAGAGTATGTGGAGACAAGTACGAGGCCTGCTCCAGTCCCTTCCAACCCAGATACAAATAGTCTCCTGAGAAGAAACATCCTGGATCGGCCCCGCCAGAGGGCCAGGGACCCTCCAGCGGCCCTCTCCTCTGTCCCCATAAACTGCTTTGCTCTCAGAGCCCCCAGCCAAGCCTCAGGCAGGAGCTGGTGTCTGAAGGGGCAGTGCCGCCCTGACTGGGTATATGGAGAGCGCCCCACCTCCGGCCCCTCTCCTCTACCCACAGCGGACAGGCCAGGGAATGTTAGGGATGGTGGAAGACAGGGCGGCCTCCCACCCTGAGGAGGGGCAGGAGACATGCAGGGTTCGGATGCCTGAAGTATTGGGGGCTACGAGGTACTCATGTGCTAGCTCCTTCTGAGTGCCAGGCTTAAGGACCCCCTGGGGAGCCCATCGTTTGGGTTAGGGGACCTGCTCTCTCTTGGCGGCATCGACCCCCTGGGGCGGGGTGGGGGGAGAGTCTCATACCTGTTGAGGTAACCTGAGTTGACCTGCTGGCTCAGGTATCTCTGAGAGGAAGGAAACGGGAAGGGGGGAGAGGCACCTTCAAATCCAAACGCGCACCTTGGAGAAGCTGGCCCCAGCCATTAGCTGGGGCTGGCTCACCACCCCCCCCAACACACACACACAGACACCACACCCCCCTCCTCCCCCTTCCTCTCCTCCCCTTCCTCCAGGTCCCCCCAGCCCTGAACCCCTCAACCCCCCGCCACCATCCCTCCTTCTCTCTCTCTCTCTCTCTCTCTCTCTCTCTCTCTCTCTCTCTCTCGCCTGTCTTCATGTCGTGGATTGATGAACGCGAATCGCGTGTAAGCGCCGCCACCGCCGGGAGTCTGAGGAATTCGCCTGGGCTGTTAAAGGAAAGAGCTAAGTGCGAGAGCGCGAGCTCTACCTACCGACAGTGAAGAGAGCCGCCGC